TCCTGCTTTTTCAACTGCAGCTGTGCCACGCAAAGCAGCTGCGGTTGAAAAAGCAGGAAATAAAGGTCAGGTAAGAACCCGGGTGGGCAGATGAGCCAAAACAGCAACAAACATAAAACCGGTTCTATGTATGCTCTCTGTTTGCTGCTCTTCAGAGCAACTGGTTCTACAGAAGTGGACAGAACCGGTAGAATCCCACTCCTGGACCTAACAGTGTGCTCCTGACAACATTGCTCAAATGACATCAGATTCCCAAGACTGCCATATTTTGGTCCAGCTATTTCTGGAAGAAAAGCTTATTGTATGGAAGCCAATGCACACATAGACAAAGGTATTCTTCCTGTTAACATTTGGCAGTAAACTTGTGGAAGTCGGCAAAAGGTGTAATTTGAACAATGTCAACAAGGAGGCAGCTTCACTGGAAAATAACATGTGATTGGACTTTAGCCTCATTCTGCAAAGAAGAAACATTTTACTATCCTAGATAATGTGCAAGTGCTGGAATTGAGATCAGTGAAGCATAATTTTAATGTCTTTTTCATATCTGTATAGAAGCAAATTAATCTAAAATTGTTTGCCCTATCCAGAAAGGTTTTGTTTCCTCCTATTCTGATATGTGTGAACTGAACCACACATCTGTACAATGCCTTGCTAGCTTTTGTCCTTGGATTTATCAAGTGTTTTGTGTGTTTTAAATATTCTACTCTTCTTGTTGTTTTAGAAAGAGCATAAGGGAAATCTCAGGGGAAGACAGAAGCATTATTTTATTTTAAGATGCATTAAGCTTCTGGGGAAAATTGGGAGAAAAGTATATCATGCTATATAACTCCCTGAGGCCATCAATCCTAATTTAAAATGATATGGTGCTTTTCTTTGCTTTATACAAGGTAAGCAAAAGTAAATGATTCCTTCCAAGGTGCCATTTCTTTCCTTCTCTTTTTATGGTCCATGTGACAAGAGATGCATGCAGAATAATAAGAGAGGCCATCATTTGGTGGCAGGATTCATGATTTACACAGGTATAAGGATATCATATACCATTCCTTAAGTCCACTCCTTAACCATTTTTTAAAGAGAGTTTAATACAATAGGCTGGGAAATCTAGGGGAGTAAGGAGTACAAAAAATATGAATAGATGCCTTGTTTGATCAGTGAACATGTTCCTTCCTTATTTGTGCGTCCATCTTCCCAAGCTAGAAGAAGATATTGTCCCAACATGTATAAATAAAATATACCTAAAAAGGAATTTCTTGTACAAATCATAAAGAAAGCAAATTTGACTAAAAAACTCCACTGCCAATAACATAACTGTATAAAAAATAGAAAATCATTATATATGCAAAACAAGTTCATTTTTTTTGTTACACCTCAAAAAAGAATCACATTAGAGCTAGCAAATACACACACAAAATATTTGCCAAAAAGAGCCACAGGGCCAGAGCAATTACACAATAAAGACAAGCTACACTTTTTGATGTCATATACAGAGGAAAGTATTGGAGAACCTGAGATAATCTAATTAAATGGTAGAAATCCACAGTTCTTAGAGCAAAGTACATCTTTGTAAAGAATATAATTATATTAGCAAATTCACTACCATGAAATGTTGTGATGACCATTAATTTAGATAGTTTTAAGAAGGAATAAAATTATATAGGGTATGAATGTAGTGGTTATACATCATTATACACTGCTCAAAAAATTTAAGGGAACACAAAAATAAGACATCCTAGATCTAAATGAATGAAATATTCTTATTAAATACTTTGTTCGTTACATAGTTGAATGTGCTGACAACAAAATCACACAAAAATTATCAATGGAAATCAAAGTTAGCAACCCATGGAGGTCTGGATTTGGAGTTACACTCAAAATCAAAGTGGAAAAAAACACTACAGGCTGATCCAACTTTGATGTAATGTCCTTAAAACAAGTCAAAATGAGGCTCAGTAGTGTGTGTGGCCCCCACGTGTCTGTATGACCTCCCTACAAGACCTGGGCATGCTCCTGATGAGGTGGCAGATGGTCTCCTGAGGGATCTCTTCCCACACCTGGACTAAAGCATCCCCCAACTCCTGGACAGTCTCTGGTGCAACATGGCATTGGTGGATGGAGCGAGACATGATGTTCCAGATGTGCTCAATTGGATTCAGGTCTGGAGAACGTGTGGGCCAGTCCATAGCATCAATGCCTTTGTCTTGCAGGAACTGCTGACACACTCCAGCCACATGAGGTCTAGCATTGTCATGCATTAGGAGGAACCCAGGGCCAACCACCCCAGCATATGGTCTCACAAGGGGTCTGAGGATCTCATCTCGGTACCTAATGGCAGTCAGGCTACCTCTGGAGAGCACATGGAGAGCTGTGCGACCCCCTAAAGAAATGCCACCCCACACCATTACTGACCCACTGCGAAAATGGTCATGCTGGAGGATGTTGCAGGCAGAAGAATGTCCTCCATGGCATCTCCAGACCCTGTCATGTCTGTCACATGCACTCAGTGTGAATCTGCTTTCATCTGTGAAGAGCACAGGGTACCAGTGGTGAATTTTCCAATCTTGGTGTTCTCTAGCAAATGCCAAACATCGTGCACAGTGTTGGGTTGTAAGCACAACCCCCACCTGTGGACGTCAGGCCCTCATACCACCCTCATGGAGTCTGTTTCTGACCATTTGAGCAGCCACATGCACATTCGTGGCCCACTGGAGGTCATTTTGCAGGGCTCTGGCAGTGCTCCTACTGTCCCTCCTTGCACAAAGGCAGAGGTAGCGGCCCTGGTGCTGGGTTGTTGCTCTCCTACGGCCTCCTCCACACCTACTGATGTACTGGCCTGTCTCCTGGTAGTGCCTCCATGCTCTGGACAGTACGCTGACAGACACAGCAAACCTTCTTGCCACAGCTCTCATTGATGTGCCATCCTGGATGAGCTGCACTACCTGAGCCACTTGTGTGGGTTGTAGACTCCGTCTCATGCTACCACTAGAGTGAAAGCACCACCAGCATTCAAAAGTGACCAAACCACCAGCCAAAAAGCATAGGAACTGAGAAGTGGTCTGTGGTCACCACCTGCAGAACCACTCCTTTATTGGGGATGTCTTACTAACTGCCTATGATTTCCACCTGTTGTCTATTCCATTTGCACAACAGCATGTAAAATTGATTGTCAATCAGTGTTGCTACCTAAGTGGACAGTTTCATTTCACAGAAGTGTGATTGACTTGGAGTTACTTTGTGTTGTTTAAGTGTCCCCTTTATTTATTTTTTTGAGCAGTGTATATTCAGGATCAGAGAAAGTAGGCTTGTTAATTAAGAATGCACTCAAAAGGTTGTATCCTTTTTCCCCCGTCTCTCATCTTTTCCAATGGAATCTGGTTGACCACTTATTAGAACAAAATGCTGGACTTTATTTTAATCTAGTATGGCTTTCTTATAGCTTATAAAATGTATTCATTTGTTTTTAATCCACTTACTAAAACAATAAATCCAATGGCATTACATGCTAGTTGTTCACATTTCTCTAATACTTTCCCATTAGATGGATCCATTGGTAGGATTCATTTTTTTTTACTACCGGCTTGGTGGGCGTGGCAGGTGAAGGCTCCTGTAAAATCTCCAGTCAGAAGTGGTATTTGCCGGTTCTCCGAACTACTTAAAATTTCCGCTACCAGTTCTCCAGAACTGGTCAGAACCTGCTGAATACCACCTCTAGATGGATCCTAATTGCATCTAGCAGTAATCTGCTGTACAGTGACTTCTACCAAAGAAACTATTGATTATCTCCAATGTATCCTGATTCCTCACCTTAACATTTACCTTGTTTCCTCACGAAGAAATGTGCTCAAAATTAAAGAATGAACTCAAAGTTATTACGGCACAATTCTATTTTTACTTAAGAGACCTCTAAAGATGGGTAAGATTTCAGAAGGAACTGTGAAACAGGTTTTCTACAACTATCTGGAATGTGATAAAAATGGTTGTCCTGGGAGAAGGAAAACATTTCTTATAGCGTGTGTCTTTGAATATGAGGTAGTTGAGAGAGTTAATGGTCAGCTGGAAAGAGTCCTTCTAAATAAGAGATCAGCAGAGAAGCTGATGTGTTTGGCTAGTGATTTTTATATTGTCAAATTCTGCCCTGAGAGCACTGCTGATGTCTATATTGCTGTTACAGTATTTCAGTTGTGTTATAAGTCACAAGGGAACTTGGCTTGTTTTTATTTGCCATGTCATAACCCAGACTAGGTATAGGATGTATTTAAGGAAGAGACAGACACATGTCCACTTCAACTTTCAATGATAGAAAAGTATTTTCCCATTTCAATATCAGGTATGTTTTTTTTTCTAAAAAAATAATACAACACAAAAAAGACCTGCATTTTTATATACATATATTCCCTCCTAATATAAACATTTTGGAATACTGTTTGTCCTGATAAACACAATGTTATATGCAATTTCCCTCAATTATGTGTTTTCTGGTGTTGCTTTCTAAATCTTATATTTTGTATGCAGTGGTATTTTTTATTGTTATTTTGTATGCATGTGTTAGTATGCAAACTTCCCTGAGGTAAGCATGTTTGTGTAAATCCTTGAAATAGAAACTTGCATTGTAGCATTCTGCAATATGAAAAAACAAAAAGATAATTGCCTTTCAGTTTGTGCATTGATTCGGGCAATGCAAATTGGCTGAAACAATTTGCTCCCCTTGACTGTTCTTAGTTTAAAGTTTGTTATGGGAGAGAAGGCAAATGTAGAGTGATTAACAGGCAAGACATAGAATGCCCTTTATTGACAGAATATCTTCCTGTGCTAACGAGTGTTGTAATGTAAACAGATGGATCTCTTCTGTGTTACCCTTCACAGATCAATTCAAGCTTATTAACTGCTTAAGTTGCTTGCTTCTCTTGCCTGAAGTAAGAAAATATGCTTCTCCTTTGATAAAGTGTCTTACTAGTGGAAATAAAATTACCCTAAGTAATGTTTATCATAATGTGGATTAACACATCTGTGCTTCAGAGTATATGATGCTCAGGGGGATGTTTATCGCTGCCAAGCCTTAATGGCTGACAAGAACTCCCTGGGCTGCAGCGCTTCCTTGGATAGCCATATCTTCAATTTGAAGGCATCTGAGAGAAAAGGGAGGGAGGCAGAAAGGGCAAAAAATCATCAAAATTAGTCTACTATATTCTGCTCCCCTCCCGCCTTGCCTCCCAAGAGTTGTATTTGTCAGGTTGTTCTCTCCTAAATTAAAAAAAAAAGTATGACATTGTGCCAGAGAATCTCAAAGACTTCATTTCCATACACCAATTTTATTGGATTTTCTCCTCCCCTTTCACCCTGGAGGGTGATGACAACATCAGCTTAGAACATTCACTATCTAAACAGAGTGTAGAAGAAGACATTTCCAAAGTGACTTTTGTTGAAAAGAATAGCTTATTATAGGTGATGAGTCAGAATTAATCTTATGGTCCTTTACATGCTCTCTGGGTAGATCACAGATGGATGATAGGACAGGATACAGACTGGATGCAGCTGATTCTGAGAGAGTAGGGAGGAGATTGTGGCATGCTTAAATGGCTCTTTATAATAAAAGTTTGATATCATGGACCATTTGAGGAAAAAGAATGTCAATCTAAATTTACCTAATTGGCTTATTTACATCACTTACAAGTTATAATTGTATAAAGCCATTTTCCTGTAGTTTTCAGACCTGGTACCACAGAAATGCATCCCTACCCCAAGCTGCTTTCTTGAATTATATGAAACCATTTATTTAAGAGTTCAGGCCCAGATGATTTTTCCTCTGCAAATGATGGAGAAAGGATGGTGAAAGGGAGGGCAATATGGTATTTTGATTAATTTAAATGGTCCTTTGGTTAAACCAATGTAACATTCCCAATCTCATGTCCTTCAAATGGGTTGGGACTGCAGGTCCCAAAATTCTCAGTCAATGTGTCCAATTGTATATTTAACTTAAGAGATACAAAAGGTGATTATCTATTTCCTGATTGGCTTGCCTCTCTTTCATTTATTAAAAAAAGGCAAATTCTTTTTTATTTACAATAGTTGGACTGTTTTCAACACCGTGAATAAAACATATACTAACGGAAGCCATTGGACCATTTCAATGATTCCTGCCCCCAGCTTTCCAAGAACACACATTCCAAGATCACAACTAACAACACACATTTGTGGTTGTTAGTTGCAAAGTTGTGTCTGACCCATCGCAATCCTGGGGCCAACGTTGCTCCAGACCTTCCTGTCCTCTACCATCTTCTGGAGTCCATTTAAGCTCACACCTACTGCTTCAGTGCTAATAGCAAAAATATCTGGCACCTTTTTTAAAAAAATGTAAAATTTGAAACAACGTGCTAAGATTTAGCATATCAATTTTATATAATTTTCCTATCTCAAAATTAAAGCATTTAAAACCTGCCAGCCCTGCCCATTCCAGCATTATTATCACACAGCTGTGTCTCCTGCAGCCCTTGGAATCCCCCCACCTCTCTTTCCATTTTTTTTAAGTGAAACTCCAGAGATTTCATGGTCCAATGCCTCTGAAATATATCTTTATCTCCCATTCATGTTTTTAAAAACAGATATAGTCGAAAGAAAAATTACAAGAGTGATTCAATTCTTTGTCTTTGAAAGTATGCACATTTTGCTGCTGCTGCTGCAATATTCAGTTCTAAGTTGCATTACAAAGGCATTTGGGCAAAATTGTATGTTTTCTTTCTTTATTTTTTACCCTGAGCAAATTGCTAAATCTGTGCCCTGTTGTGCCTCTTTGAGGTTTGGTCTACAACGCCAAATAAAAATCTAGCAGGGTGCTCCTAACTTAGACATGCCTCCAGCCAAATCCAAATCCATTTATGAAGCTAGAGTGAGTTTAGTCCTAGGAGAAAACTGTCAGAGAGGAATAGGGTATAGAGATGTTGACAAATTTAATTTGTCCTTATCTCAGAAAATAAATTTCGGTACCTCATCACATTCACCTCAGATTTAAGGTAAGCATTAAAATCCCTCCAGCTTCATCACAAAGTTAGATTTTACTCTGAGCAAAAGATCTGACTTCTTATTCTCCTCTCTCTTGCTTCAATTTTGCTACTGCTGCTCAGTCAGCTGGGGAGGAAATTTGTCTCTTGGCCTACCCTCCCTCCCTGATGCTTTGGGATGGCAATCATCAAACACTAAAATATCTAGCAAATGTTATTTTCACGGAGTTCTAGATGTGGAGATGGAAAGTAAAGGAACTGGTGACTGATGTAGAATGGAAAGGAAGGAGGAAAGTAAGAGAAATTTCTTGGCTGAGACAGGAATCGAAGAGACCCTGAAAAAACTCAAAAAAGATTGCAGAAGAGTTTGATTACTCCAATCAGGCATGCAGCAAAGCCTAATTTTATTTGAATTGTCTCAGAAAAAGCCAAACTACTTTCTTGGTTTGGGATAGGGGAACAACTCTTCCCATTATCTGAGAAGGAGTAAGATGCAAGTTCCATTCATCGCTGGCAGAGTGTTCTTATTATCAACATCCATAACAATATTCTAGATTATGGTTCTATTCTTCTATGTGGATCGAGGAACTACAACAAAAAATACAAAGTGACGTCAACTTGTGTCTGTGGAATCCATGCCATCTAATACTACACAACAGTTTAATTCCCCATTAATAATAATAAAATACTGTATTAACTCAAACCTGACTCCTGTTACTGCATCGCGTAATGTTCCTGGCAACTGTCAGATTTAAGTTAGGAGTCAGAATTTCTCCCAACACAGATGTCAGTTATGTCAACATTGTCCAGATTTAAACTGAGAAACATAGGGCAAAAAAGCCACTAACCCATGGGAAAGGTGAAAGGAAAAAGTGCAAACATTATATCACAATGGGTATAAAAAGAGAATTGGATCTTCAGCAGGACAGTGGATAATCAAGTGTTAAGAACTCCTTTTTAGTACAAATAAAATTTAATTTTAATCTAGCTGTGACATGTCAGGCATCAGAGAGTCTTAAGTGGAATATGAATGTAAGCCTAATCAAACCATTTTGAGATGAGTGTTTAGGAAATTCTGCAACTGTTGGTTTCTACCATTAAAAGAAAGGATCGCTAGTTGTACTCATGTCTCTTTCCAGGAGAAAGTAGCACGAATATTGTAACTGGATTTCATTCAACCTTCCCCCAGTCTCAGGTATCTTTGCAACAAATAGACTTTGTCTCCCAGAACTGGTCAGTTCAATGATTATTGATACAAAAGAACTAAACAATACCCCAATTAAGGAATACCAATGCAGAAACAACGCAGTAAACAACAACTAATCAAGAAAACACCAGGAACACTTCCACCGCCATTGACAAGACCTAGTAGTTTACTTTACTTTACTTTACTTTATTGTCATTGCACTTCATACAATGAAATTAAATACCATCTTCAGTGTACATTATGATTATGAAAATAAACACAAACACACATCCTTCACAGTCTATACATATTGCATTATACAGTAGAATTCAATAGAGTTACTGATCTGGGATAGAAGCTGTTTTTCAGCCTATTTGTCTTTGTTTTTATTACCCTGTACCGTCTGCCAGATGGTAATAATTCAAAAAAGGGTAACCGGGATGAGATGGATCTTTGAGAATTTTTTGAACTTTCTTAAGGCAGCAGGAGCCATAAAGCTCTTCCAAAGAGGGGAGAGGGCAACCAATAATCTTCTGGGCAATGACATTAACCCTCTGGAGTGCTTTCCTATCTGCCACTGTGCAATTGGCAAACCATACAGAGGTGCAGTATGTTAAAATGCTCTCTATGGGGCAGCGGTAGAAGGTCACTGGCAGTTTTTCAATCAATTGTTGTTTTCTGAGAAGTCTCAGGTAGTATAATCTCTGCTGGGCCCTTTTGACCAGTGCTGCAATGTGAGCACCCCAGGTCAGGTCCTCTTTTATGATAACACCCAGAAACTTAAAACTGGCCGCTTGCTCCACTCGGTCTCCATTGATCAGCAAGGGCTGGATGTCTGATCTGTTCCTTCTATAATCCACTATAAGCTCCTTGGTCTTACTGGTGTTGAGGACCAAGTTATTGTCTCCACACCATGAAAGCAACCAGTCCATCTCATCTCAGTAGGCAGTTGTATCATCTGCAAGTTTAGTAATAGTATTACTAGCGTGAGTGAGAATGCAGTCATGCATATATATAGTATATAAAAACAAGAGGAAGCCGCATTCCCTTCTAGAACTAGAATGTTATTTAGTTTGGTAATGAAATGTCTGCAAGAAAAGCACAAATCTTAGAGAGTACAAAGGACCCCACTGTTCAGTAATTGCTAAGAATTCTGGGAGTTTGAAGGCCACATATCTGAAGGGCCTATCCAGGCCAAGGAAGACTACCATATAATAATACTTACTTCTAGAAACTGGAAGAGAGGAATTATTGCTCAGACAAAGAACACTGTTTGCACACATAAGGTCTTAGAATCCTATTCTACTTCTAGCAATATCAGTAGAAAACTACATGGACAAATGCCAGATAAAGAAAGAATGACAGCCTATTTATGTCCTATTAGCACAAAAACTGGCACATTTTCTGCATTCCAAATACTTTTCTTATCAGAATATAGTCATAATGCCTATTCATATTCCTGATCTTCTTGTAAAATCCATTCATCATCCCCTTCAATATTACAACTTGGAAATTCCCAATTATCCATTTAGGCTCAAATCTAATAATGAAAGATAAAATGACATAGTTCCTTATTTATTGTGCATGATTAGGACTTTTGCATAAGATATTAAGCCAAGAGTATGGCTTGTTTGTTTCTCATTTAGTGGGATGAGAAACCTATCTCCAGAAAAGGAAAGTTATTTTGATTTGCAACACATTTTAAATTAAATCAATGGTTTGTTCTTAATCACTATAATTTAGTGTATGATGAGAACACGACAGAAGAGAAGTAAACACATATTCACAGTCCACATAAAACTTATAATTGGCAGTGGCTTCATAACTGTATGTCCAGTTCAGCTGTCCAGGTGATTGCCTCTGGCATTGCTTCATGCAGATCTTCTAGGAACCAAAGCAGAGGTGGTATTCAGCAGGTTCTGACCAGAACCGGTAGCAGAAATTTTGAGTAGTTCAGAGAACCAGCAAATACCACCTCTGACTGGAGATTTTACAGTATCCTTCCCCTGCCACGCCCACCAAGCCATGCCCACAGAACCAGTGGTAAAAAAAATTGAATCCCACCACTGAACCAAAGAATGCACATTGTGAGCAATCTTGCACAATATGTTTAACACTTGCATATTAGCACCACAATTGCTTTGTTTGTTTGCATGTGCTCTTAATTTATGGATACTTTTAGATCTGAACCCTGATAGGCTAATACTGTATTTTGCTCTCATGCTATTTCTTGTTATTAGCAGCTGAAATGTACTGTACATAATGAACCAGGAACTGGTAGAAAAACCCATAATTTGTCTGTTTATAAATTTTAGCCTTGTCCAACAAAGAAAACCTTGCTTCTTGTATTCTATGGATACACCATCAGTATCAGAATGTAAACATGCATTTTTCATGTTTTATCTTCACTAAAAAAAGTGATATGAGATTGATCTGAGGACAGGCAACTGTCTCAACCACACAGCACAGTGGTTGAGAGCCAATAAACAATTATAAAATGTATTTCATTTTTATCAGCTTCTTCAACATACCAGTTAGGTGACAATGATCTCTATCTACCACCAATATCACAGTTAGGACAAGATACTTGATCAAAGGCATTCCACTGAATATACTGAGGCTGCTGACAGCAGTAACTACTAAGCAGCTGTCTGAAAGTAGGAAGACAGGGTCAATAATCAGATAGTTTCTAGGAGAATTGAACATCTCCCACCTTTCATCTCTCAGACTCAGTCCTGCTCTACAGAAGCAGAATAAATGGTTTCCTGTCATCTACTCTTCCATCTTTATTCCATTACAAATGAATGGAGCTCAGTGGAATTTTCAGAAAATCAGAGCAATGGAAGGTACTGGCAAACTCACAAAATGTGCTACATTATTGTGCAACTTGCCTGACAGCTGACTTTATTTTACATGGTTATTAGCTGATACAAAGGATATTATGAAGGCTTAGGATAGCTAAAAAAATTGTCACTAGCAAAATATGTGATTTATATAACTTTTTCCTTAATAATTATAGGGTTCTGATTTTCTTTTAAAAATGAACTTCATCTCTCCTACAAAATGAAGCTTCTTTTCATATAATTTTATGTTTTAAAAAATGCTTTTGTAATATGGCTCATGAGAACAATGCATATTTGATGGAAATCTGTAATAAGTAACATTATGGAGAGTGTTACTAGACACTGATTGATGTCTATATTATTTTTTTGTCCCACATTTTAACTGGCATTTTTAAAAAATTCACACTCCCCTCTTTTTCTATTACTATTTCAAGCCTCTGTAGATCTGAAGAAAAATTCACCTAAGTCTTGCATTTATTCTTGCATTCAGAATTTCCATAGGGTTGCAGTCTGCTAAGTATAAACTAGCCATTCCAAAAAATGATATAGCCCCTTATAAACCAGCCACTCCTAATTTATGTAGTGAAAAATTCTTAACTAAAATGGCTCTAGATTGAGTAAGGTTTATGTAAACTTTGGTACGAGTTTAAATATCTTTTCTTTATTAATATAAATATCAGTAGCTAGTTTTAAATCATTTACATCAAGATAACTCAATCAAGTAATTCACCAGTATCAGACTTTGCAGATTTCAGTGGACAATCTTCTTGTACTAGCAAGTATCTGCTCTACATCTGGATTATTCACCTGTTGCTATCTGCTATTCTTCACAAGTTTGGAATTATAGTTCCAACAAGCTTAAGGGACTTCTGACCACAATTTATGAAGAAGAAATATCATTAATCTTTAATAACTAGGTCACAATCCAGTACTGTCCTAACTATACCTAACCAAATATTATCTTTAGAAATCCAGTTATTGTTTTTGTTTTTAATGAAATAAACAGAAGGAAGTGAGATGAATTAAAGTACTGAACAGGGACTACATATTCTAGATTGAGATTAATAATGAGTTCTGAATGTAAACATGTTGAAGACTAATTTTTTAGACAGATGTTCAAATGTTAGTGGGTTAGTGTTTTTTTTTTTAAGATTTCCATTTGATCTGTAATACAGATTGAGGCATCTACTTTTAGGATCTTCGTGAGTATGAAGACAGGGACTGATGTTGTAATATTATTGTACATCATACAAAAGAATTTGTTAGAATCACAGAGTTGGAAAGTAATATGGAGGCCATCTGGTTCTACTCCCCTTGCTCAGTACAGGATCCATTACAATTTCTTTAACGGATGACCATTCAGTTTCTTTTTGAAAATTTTCAGCAAAGGAACAGTTACCACTCCACAAATTGTTTAAGTACAGAGAGAAAAGCTTCTCTAGTCTCCACCATTTTATTATTATTTTTATGGTAGTTTTTAACCCCTGGTTGGGATCCTGTCCTGTTGTCCTCTGGGGCAATAGAAAACAATTCCATTTTCTCTCATCAGATATTTTTATATTTTGTTATTATTGTACTTATAATAAAATGGGTGGAAAGGAAAATACCTACAAAACATACGGGTATTATTTAACAATAAAATATCACTAACTGATTCAAAGTTAGCATATGCATTATACAGGGAGAACTAGTTACCACTGATAGTAGGTGCTTAGAAATAAATAATAGCAGAAGAAAAAGATTTGTATCTGCCAAACAACCCTCCTTGGATAACCAGCTTTTCTTAGGTGTATTGCAGGATATTGTCCCTTAGTCAATGATGAAGCAAGAACCAGCTGACACTCCTGGCAATTTCCAAAGCTGCCTTGTGCTTGGCACCTAGTTGTGTACCACCCAAACCCACAGATAGTCCCACTTCTGAAATGTTGAAGGTGACTTTCATTTACAATTTTTAAAATAACAGAAAATGGGGAGGGATTATTATAGGGACTTCTGGGTGTGTTGCCCAGAACACCACTCAAATGCCATGTGTGATCCTCAAATTGAAAATGCCCCTGACCCCCATGACAAAGACACATTCCAGACTTCCATAATAACTATTCCTTTCATTCTAGCTTTTTTTTTTCCAGCAAGTGACTGTCTGAGATCTTTTATTGATTCAAAGGTTCACCTAGAGATTGATATCACAGTGCCCTTGGGCAAACTTAGAGTAAGTTCTCTAGGTGAATGCATCTCTGTAGATTAATTCATCCTGTGGGAAAGATATATGAATAATGTCTTTGGCCCTTTTGATACTTTTCTTACACAAGAGCATTTTCAATTCTTTCTTCCCCTATATAGTGTCTTGTTTTAGAATAACTAGGAGTAAAATAGTTCCATCTTCCTTCTTTCTGATTGCAGGATTCATTGATTTCTTGCATCAAAGCAGAACATGTTCATCATTTAGGAAATCCAAGCATTTGATTAGCAGTGGTTATTTTTTAATATGCAAACATCTTTAATTGATGCTGTTATCATCAAAGATAGCCTTATGTGTATGAACCAGTCTTTCGGGGGCAATCAACAACAGTTAAGATCAGTGGTTTCTGAGCACAGCAAATTGACAACATGTAATAAACAATTTGCCAAGGAAAGAGCTGTGGATCATATCATTAAAAATGAATGTTATGTTTCGATGCCATTTTTCTACTACATTCCAAAGATAATTAGAAATTTATTTTATCTCTATGATGCCTTTATTTTTTACAAAACATTCCATCCTATATCCAACTCAATAGTGACCATTCTGGCCACCCAAGTCATTATCTAAAAAGTTCAAGATGAAAATCAGAGGACATCATAAATGGCTTCAAAATATAAAGACAGAGGTGAATTAAAATTAGATATATGGAGTTTGAAGCAATTATGCCTTGCAGATTGAGAGAAAGACAGCCAAACATAGTAAGCTCATCAATGTTATTGAAGTTGGAGGTAAGACATAAGCTTCAGAGTTTAATTTTGCCTGGCTGTCATTCATTATTATGCTATGTTGGAAATGCTTGCAAGAAGAAATCAACACAAAAGTAGAATGCTGACTTTAATTTCTGTGTTGGGAAGCAATGGGCCTGTTGTTGCCTAGAGAACAGAATATGGAACTAACAAGATTCTGCCAATTTTATCTGAAATTAAAGATGCAGCCAAAAGTGCCAGGGGAGAAATAATTTTGTGACAGGATGCTTGCAGAGACTTGTTACGCTAGGAGTCAAGTTGTAAATAGAGAGGTTGCATGCCAGTTCCCTAGAGTTAAAAGGGGAATCAAAAAGACATGGCTTCTCAGAGAACAATTCAACCACTTTGGATAGACTGGAAGCAAGCCACCAACCCAGCTGCCTAAAGAGCTAGCCAGTCACTAGAAGAGATGCTGCAGGAAGAATCTTGTATCACTCATAAATCAGCTAGTATATTGGTCTTTTATAATAGAGGAAGGAAGGAAAGAAGGAAAGGCAAAAAACCAGTGCTTTCAGAAGGTAAGCAGAAGCAAAGCTGCAAAGCACAGCTAATACCCTAATGCACAGGAAAGTGGAAATGAAGAAATAGTCCATTTTTCCTGGAAATCTAACCATATCCCCATATTGATAGTTTAAGCTTCCATAGCAGAGGTCTACAGTGCCTTGCAGAGGAAGGGAGGGTCTACAAGATTAAAACATGCAGCCAGGGTCAGATTTTCCTATCTAAGAATAGTGGGGAAAAACAATTTTTACCACAGACCCCTCTGAGAATTAATTTAAGCATTTTTCCCCAATGGGCTGGTGGCAAAACAAAATTCATCAAGGATTCATTACACCTCTTCTTATCATCCTGAAAGCCACAATGAAGATAGGGATAGTAAATATTCTAAAATGTTTTCCCATTTATGTTAAATGGGAGAATGCATTGTCCTGTAGAAATGTTAAAACTCCCTAGAAAATAAATGCTTTCACATTTGCACTCCTGGACCTGGTCTAATATTTTTATATAATTTTTATTTTTTTAAACTCTACATGAAAAATTGTGAAAATGTAAGTTAAAGCACACTAGTAACATTGAAGCACAAAGTCCTCATATAACTAGACATCAACTAAGGTAAAAGATTAGAAGTATAGAATTACAAAAAAATCAAAAATTGCCACTTTCTCTTCATCAGAGAACTGGCTAGAGAGGCAAAACAAATTTTGCTTGCTGGAATCTTAAACTGCATCTTCTAAGATGCAATTTTCTTCCTACATGTTAACCAGTTAATGTACTAGAAGTACTGAAATTATCAAACTTATGTAGTTTCTTTCCAGTTTCACATCAGATTTGGTTCCCCCCCCCCCCGAAAAAAATACTCTCCAAAATGTTTTATTGAATTTTGATGAACTTAAACATAATGTCTAGGACCAAAACAGAGTTTCCTTCATCCTGTAGAAACAAAACCTATCTAAACAATATCATATGCAATTTTGTGCCTTTTGTCACTCGCTTGTGCAATGTGCATCTATATAGCCAATCAATTACAAGCTATTCAGAAAAACCGAATGACTGGTAGGACATAGCATACAAAATGAATGAACTGCAAAAATGAGTGAATTGAAAGGTATGTCACCACCAGAATGTTTTTTATCTTCCTAATCTTATAGATACTCATTTTGTAGATAACAGAATGCACGTTTCCCCACCTTTCCCCCATTTATGATGGGAATGCAATTAGAGAAATTGATCATTATTTGCAGTTCTTCACGTAGTTAAATGTGATGGTGGGTGACAACATAGATGTCTTCAAAAGGGAATCAGGCAAAGCTTATAAACTTATTTCAGCAATCATCTGATCATAAATACCGGTTCTGTCCGCTATATTGCTCTCATATACACAACTTGTCTGGCATATGGCATATGTGGTCATGCCATATTGATCGGTATAAATAAAACTTCTAAAACTTCATTCTAACCACTGTGCCACCATGGCACAATACTGCAGGCTAATTCTGCTGACTGCCAACTCCCAGCACTTTGGTAGTCTGAATCTCACTGACTCAAGGTTGACTCAGCCTCCCATTCTTCCAAAGTCAATAAAATGAGGACCCAGATTGTTGGGGTCAATACGTTGATTCTGTAAACTACTTGGAGAGGTCTGTAAAGCACTGTGAAGCAGTCTAAGTGTTATTGCTACTGCTACTCATATTCAAGATGCTTATGAAAATACACATAATTAGATTCCATGATTGCAAGAGCATTTCTGATCTTTGATTCAATATGAATAGAAGTCTTCTTCAGATTTTCTTATTCAACATGACATCAGCTCTGACCCAAGGGGTAAATCACCAATCTCCAGAGACTTGCATGAACCTCTTGGCTTGATATAGTAGAAGAGTTTGAATGGTTGGAATATATTTACAAATGGCTCTCTCTCACCTGCAACTACTAGTTCCTACTTCACCAACCTTAATGCTCAGGGTTTCTCACTGGTGATAGTACAGAGTCTCATTTACAGGAAGGAAATAGAAGATAGGGGAAGCATATCACAACTCCATCCTTCTACTTTTATTACCACCCAAGTATGCTCCACTGAATGCCTAAGGAGAGCCTATAGAAGATAAAGCCACTACAGGATCAAAATGGAATCTTCTAAAAACAAGCTATCATGGAATAAGAGTGTTGTTAGGGTCATCCTATCTGTGGCTTTTCCAGAGGTAGCTGAGTGGCCATTGTGGGAAAGAAGAACATGGATTTTTCTTCAGACATTGGGCCAGGAAATTCAGTGAGCCCATTTTTCAGAGGGCTGTATTAGGGTATGCTTTCAGAGATGTAATGTATTGAGGGCAGTGGTGGGATTTAAATTTTACTACCGGTTCTGTGGGCGTGCTAGGTGGTCATATGACTGGATCGACATGGCTAGGCAGTCATGTGACTGGCTGGGCATGGCCAGTGTTGTCATGTGACTGGGTGGGCATGGCCAACTCAAGAGTGCTTCTTTGCCCTAATATTTAAAAAAATATTTTAAAAGATGTGAGTAAATGCTATCTACACCAGGGATTGCCTTTAGATATTTCTAAGATATCCTACCCTTCATGCAACCCACCTCCAAAATCTGAAATGAAATGTCTGCACCCCACCTCTCAGATTAATCTCCAGAGTTCCCCATCAATGCTGTCATATTCTTAGTACACCACCAATGTTTATATATAGAGAGATATTTTATAAGTACATGATTTCCAAATTTTCTATGTCGCTATATGCTTAAACTATTCACCAAAATCATATTTAGATTTTGAAAAACTTGAATAGTAAAAGGTTTGAGACTATTGTATTATCTGCCATATTCTGATATTGATTTTTCTGCAAAATAATTAAAATGCCATTAATTTAATTACATTCAGGAATGAAAAACACTTTCATATTTTCCTTTGCAATTATAAGGTGAATTAGTCTGTAGGTGTTCCAGCAGATTTGACTATAGGAAATATTTGTATTTCCATCTCTGTTCAATCTCTATTTTACCTATTAAAATTGATAGTAGTTGATTAAGATATGGATGCCATTTTCTATTTGAACTTCAAGAAGCCTCTCATTTTATTTTTGCACTAGCACTGATATAAATAAACCCCAGCTTTGTTTCTAATATTTTACCCAGATG